TAGACAGAAATCTCGCAAACTTTAAAAATTTAACGCCTTGATACTTTAATGCTTTTTGACCTTAGTAATTGCAAATCTAGGAAGATAATACATAGAGTTTACAGAGAATCTAGTAATATAACTATGCACATTCATGGCCAATTTAAAATACTTTGAAAATAGACAGGGTAACGAGTTATTAGAGAAACGGTACATAAATTTTGCAAGTTCGATGTTATAGCTAGATGTCATGAACTTGTCAAAACTCAGTTATTTGAGTTTTCTATACATTGGGGTGGCATGATCTATACGCTTAGCAAACTTGATGCATTTTACTATTCTGTCCTGTAATTTAACAGCTGTGTATAATACTGATTTAGAAGCTGATCCCCAGGTTAAGATCTCCAATTGTAAATAGGGGTAGGCAAGCGCATAATATACAGAAGTAAGAGTGTCAGTATATGCGTATTGTCTGAGTTTGTATATAATTCCAGCTGTTTTGGACAATTTAATTGTAATACGTTTAATGTGAAAGCTCCGTGAAAGTAGTTATTAAAACATCATATATCCTCAGTATTATTGACATTTCTATTGTTCTCAGTAATAATTAAGGGAGTTTGGTAAAATAGATGTGCTTTATATTAACAATTAATATTATTAATGGTTTGCCATGTATTTTTCACATTATTCGTATGAATTTCCTATTGATTTATGTGGTGTTTCTTTTTTATATTTCTGTCAAATGAGTAAGCTTTATTTGCATAGTCTTTATAAGTTCTTTTAAGTAGATTACTGTTAGACATAAAGTGTGTTTTGTACATACGATTTTTAGTGGTGATAAACTTGATTAAAGCGTTTGTTAGCCAAGGAGTTGAAGCAAATTTACTTTTCCTTCGTGATGCGTGACTACTAGCTACATAATTAAGCACAAGCTTACAGAGATATGCATTAAGATCTAAAGCTTTAAAATCAATCCCAGCAAAATTAATTCGCGAGTAATCCACAAATACCGTGCTATCAAAATCGGACATAACTCTTCTAGTACTTTTTGGATATTCTTTATTAACATCAATGTTATTTATTAACAAAAATATAGGTAAGTTATCATAGATAGCATCGTAATATGATTCCAGCGGTTAGATTATCAAGCAAATTATTGGTATAAATATGATCAATTATTGACTCACTATAGTTGGCGCTATCCTAGTTGGCTTCATAATTAATGGTATATGCATCCATAAACATAGACATTATTAAGATAATTTTGAGTGCGTCGGTGATATATATATTTCAACAAGTTGTTCGAACATTAACGTCTCCGCAAATGAAATTTTTTTTTGTAGGGAATTGAGATTTGTACAACATGAACATCATTTAAATGCCAACAGAACTGCCCACGTGCCAACCGAACCCTAACCAGAGCCCTAACACACCTATGAAAGCACTAATAGGTGGCACCACTGTACACAATTGCTCACACGAATATGATTAGATCAGCCAACGGCGTACGAATGATTTTTTCAAGGGGGGGTGTTTTCGAGAGAATCGCGCACATCACGATAACCTGTATAATACCAGTCGTCATGTTACGCTTGACTGCGTTCGCTACACTGACTGGTGAGTAGGAACTCTGGTGAGTAGGCCCTCTGGTGAGTAGGCCCTAGCGGCCGTTACGAGCAGGAGCGGTAATCATTAACGTTAACATCACGAGCGCGAAGCGCGAAGTCCCTTGCGGCCGGGGTCCAGGGCCCGCTTAAGGGCCCTGGAAGCTCAGGGGTTCTAGATGCTCTATGGTGCAATCTGAACCTTATTTTGGAACGTTTTATACAACAGGCGTATGACTTTAAAGTGAAATCTAAGAAGAACTTTGCAGTATCTCAACTTGCAATGTAGATAATAGGGAATCATCTAATAGGATTCCCTATTATCTATTTCTGATAATATTAGGCTATCAGCATGGTTGCATTTAAAATCATGTTTCACTGTACCTTGCGAGTTGCGCGATGCCTAAATGTATTATACCAGGGCCGGATCCAGGCTTTTGAGAAGGGGGGGGGCGTAAACCCAAAACAGGTTACGAGTGCCGAAGGCGCGAAGCTCTGACGTGGGGTCTGAGGACCTTTCTCAGAAAAATTTGAAACTTTAAGTGTCTCAAATGCATTTACCTGGCATCTGAGGACAAAAAAAAACAGACAAATTTTGAACATTTAAGTGTCTCATATGCATTTTTCTGGGCACGTGAGGTCGTGTAACAGGCACGTGTGATCGTATAGGGTGTGACCAGGTTCGTGTACAACAGATACGTGTGCAAATAGCACTTGAGCCACAAACAGTATAATTAATGCTATAACCACTGAATTACTACGGTAACTCTATTCTTTAATAAACAGCATCAACATAATAAACACATACAGTACATATCTTATACACCAGGCACATACAGACAAGCGACTGGTTTACAAATGCAGTACATATTTACGAGCGTGGAGTTCTGCAGATCGCAGGCAGGTCCTGGCGGTGTCCAATGGTGACGGTAGCGTGGTGATCCCCAGCAGGTGAGATCAGCGGAACCTGGTGCTGACAGCGTCGGGAGCTGTCAGGCACCGTGGAACCGTGTCTGTCTTCTTGTCGAAACTGTTCGTTATTTATACAACTGGAGGAATGCATGGCCTGAGCGTGGTCAAGGCCTTGTTGCGTGCGGATGGTGCAATCCTGTGTCCTTCTCCAGAATTTTATGGATAACTGAAGGTGAGAAGCTGTGGACGCTTCTTGAGTCTGGTGTGGGAACCGTGGCAGGTCGATTCATGTTCTTCATATTTCCCATAGTTCACATTTGTCGGCGGCGTCGTTGTTTGTTCTTTATCAGTCGGCATGCGACATCAAGGTGTGATGTCCTTCTATAGGTACTAAAATCTCATAGTGTCGGCAGAGAGAGAAAGTAATCACCTACACAAGGCGTTGTGTAGGTGATTACTTTCTCTCTCTGCCGA